CTTTCCTACAACCGTAGTATGTACTATTTCCATTGAAAATTAAACATTTGTCTTTAATACATTGTTTTTCTCTCTTTTTATGTCATCAATTAGCAAAGGTGTTTAATTTTTATTGAAGAGATGTATGGAAAATTGGGTAAGACAATAGTATTGTAGAAAATTTCTAACAATAGATACATAATAGTGGGATTATTTGAGGTTAATCCTTTTTGCACACAAATAAAAAAGTTAAAACATCAATTAAATATTATAATTTACAAGGTAAGAAGAAGCCTGACTTACGAAAGAATTAAACCTAGCAAAAACTCAAGCTCATATATATATACATAGAAGCGAAACGTTAACCTCTAACAAGCACTAACAAAAGGCCCAAATTCAAGAACTAGCGAATGGCCCAAATTCAAGTCCATAATGGCCCAACCTTGTTTTGAATGTTTAATCTATTATTGTTCATGGCGTTGTGCTCCCGGCCGCACCACATACAGTTTAAATTTTAAAACCTTGCAAGAGCTAGAAAGTATTTACGTGATAGCTCTTGCCTCTTGGCATACAAGAGTGTAATACAATTGTAGAATGATTTAGAGTGTGTAGTTTAGTGAAGAACTAACAATTATTTTATGCATTGTGTAACTTTTTTAAAATATATATAGGATTTGAAAAGTATAAATTTAAATTGAAAAATATTTAAGATTGTATAGAATATGCTTAATTAATTTAAAATATTTTGAAATTAAAATTAAAAAATTATAAATAATGAGGTATGTCATTTTTTGAAAGAGAATAAACTATAATATTAAGTTATTCTTTAGAAAGTGTATTTCAATTTAATATATAAAAAAATTGTTGAAAAATTAGAAAAATATGTAAAGGAAGAAATATAAGTCAATAAATATCAAGTGAAGTAATTCTCACAAATCTCCTTTTTCATATTTTTCTTTTGTACACATATTTTTGTGACTATTTTATCTTCATACTTTGATAGTTTGATATTGGGCTAACATTTGTCACGCAGTTTATACTTTTGTTTTCTCACAAAATGTGAAATTAAGAATTTGACAAATCACTTATAAGCTTTAATTAGTTGCTGATCTTCAGTTGGACTTATGTATGCTTATCAGTCTCATTGCCTTAGCCCAAACGGTTGACTACTAAGGTTTATTTAAGAGTCGTTTTTCTATTGTTGGGATATATAGTCCCACATTGATTGTGTGGGCAACTAATGTGGCCTTTATAAGGTCTTGGGCACTCTCACCCTTTGAGCTGCGTGAGGGGGCGTGTTGAGATATATTGTCTCACATTGATTGTGTGGGCCACTAATGTGACCTTAATAAGGCCTTGGGCACTCCCACCCTTTAAGCTAGCTTTTGGTCATTATAGAGAATCTTATTCCGCTGTATCATCACACCGAACGTATAATGACTGTGTTTGTCTCAAACACATAGTGAGATTCACTGAAATAAAACGGTTATTAATTGCTCATTATACCCTTAACATCATTCCCTTTATTCTCATTCTTCCCCTGATTAGCTTAAAGTTTTAATCTGTACCACTGCCTCTACAAATACTGTTACATAGAGATGCTTCACTCTATGAAAAAAAGAAATATATTCCTATTACCAAATGGTTCATGGGATATCAACAAGCAAATTCCATATGCATTGCATTAGTTGACCAGCAGTCTAGAATATAGATAACAATTTTTTATCATCACATGTTCTTTTTCTCACTGAAGTTGTACAGGTCTAACACTGATATAGTGATGCAAAACACTTGTCTCCCGAAAAAATTATAATAAAGTGTTCATTATAACTTATCATCACACATGCACGGCGTTCCAAAATCAGGAGGCAATATAATATTTTCTCCTCCTAGCCTCCTGCATATAAGGTTGGATATTTAATTAGAGAAGTATATATAAAAGGACCAACTTAATTAGATTAATAAAAGACTAAAAACTCATACACTCGGTCTTAATTATTAATTTATTTATATTTAATCATTTAATTTTTTTGTGTGAACATATTTAATAATTTTAATTTATTTATCATGTGAGCCGTTAAATATAAATAGAAAATATAACTTACACCAATCTAAATTTAATTATATATATATATATATAATTGTATTTCCTCATATGATTTTTGTGTAATAATTATCCATTTAAAGTTTTTATTCACGCGGTAACAAATCATGTAAATTGGTTCTAGCAGATAAAAAAAAGACTTTTACAAATGGCTTTTAGTTGCAATTGCCCAACAATATTTAACTCTTTGAAAACAACAACCAGCAAAAGGCAAATGAGAGACATAAACTGATCAAAACATTAACAGAAACCATAGAAAAAGCAATTTTTATACATGGATTTTACTTAGAATTTTGTTTTTGATAAAGAGTAAATTACTTAGAAACCTCGTAGTGTAGAATATTTTTTCGGAGCGACAGCTCCATCAATACTAAGGTCATTTAACATATGTTATAACTTACAACCTTATTGTACTTATGTTATACGTAAAAAATTACTGTGAAAATTTTAAAATTAAAATCGCCGTTGCTATCTTATTCATGAATTAAAATTTTGACATACTAATTTACTTTCATATAGTAGAACTATTTGGGGTTGAGCTATCTAGTTAGGGGTGTAAATAGGTTAGGCTAGGTTAGACTTTGACTTAAATAAGTCAGGCCTGTATACAAAATTTTATGCATGACCTGACTTGTTAGCCTGCGTAGGCTCCAAATTACATGTCTGGTCTGATCTATATTTAAAAAAATAAAAGACTTGTCTTGGCCTGTTAAATTGTTTAAGCATATTAAACATTCAATAATTAAAAAATAACAAAAATAATATTCTTTGATTATTCAAAATTATTAAAATAATAATTTTATTTAGTTTATTTAAAATAAATAATATGATATAAGCCAACCTGTAAACTTATGGCCTACTTTCTAAATAGATTTTTTTAAAAGCCTAGGCCTGTTTTATATATTTAACTATTTGTAATAGGTCAAATCTGATTTAATATAGAAAAAATCATAGGACCCTGTAAGCTGACCTAACTCATTTACACTCGTCGATTTCAATGGATGAGAAGCTTACTCACATCACAGGGAGGTCTCGGACTATTCCCTTAGGATTGAACAGTAACCTATTAAATTTGTTGATATACTCTTGTGAATTATATTATTAAAATAGGATCCTAACTACAAAAGCTGGCATAATATAAATAAAATAGTTGTATTAACCTGAGATATGGGCGATAATTGTTTGATGTATTAAAATGAACTAATGCATATGTGGGATAAAATGAAACATTGAATAATTATGAAATATGTACAAAATTGTCAATGCATGACACAAGAGGAACCGATTGTTTTCAATGAAATATGCTAATCCTCAATTCCTCATAACGAATTATTGATCAGAGTTCAATTATTGACTAATCATGTAAAATCTAATTTAGCACAGATTTTATATTGATTTATTTTCCGCACGCAGTGACAGCATCTATTGAAATAATGATATGATCGATTGGTGTGGATGAGAAAACACGTTGGCCAAATGATTGCATACAAGTTTGATTTCTCAACGTTTAGGCGGCTGAAACACCGTGATCATCACGTACCCATGCACCCCCACTAAGCTAAATATAATGTTACGAATCAATTATTTTAAAAAGTTGTATAGTGTTGGATAAAAACATTTTTATATATAGTTAACATATTACACCCTCAAATTATAAAACAATTATTTCAATATTGGAAAAACTAGCCACACGTACCCACGCGTGAATCCTTTATTAGATTCAGAGAGTGAACGAGCTTCTGGGTTGTTTATTAATGGTTCGAATTGTGTGGTACCCTAGTTACAATAACATAGCTTCAGTCCCTTAGCAGAATAGTTTTTATCTACTGCATGCACTAATCAATCAGATTCATTAATATCACTTTTTATTGGTTCTCTTGAAATGAATTCGTATAAATTGACTGTTTTCTTACCACTTGTCCCGTAAAAAACATTCAGTTGCGTTTTCTTCGAAGAAAAAAAGATAAAAAGAAGAGATAGAAAGATATTTCTTATTATATGGAGTCATATTAAGAAAAGAAAGACAGAAAAAAATGAATTTTACACACGTTTATTTATATATAAAAAATAAAATTATCTCAAGTTATAATACGAAGGACATTAAATCCAAAAAAAATATATATTTAATTTGCGACTGTTTTTAGTGTACCTGCACCAACTATCAGCTACTTTTCAAAAAGGCATTAATACCTTAGTTTGACTGTGTCAATTATGAGGTCTACGACTAACAAATGGTCAAGTCTTTGATCTAAGAAATAAAAAGCATAGACAAAAAGCAAGAGAGGGGTGATATATGTATGGTGTAATAAAATATATTTTATAACGGAGCGGCGCGGTGAGCACAAAGCGACTATTCTTTCGCCTTTTACTAAAGAAAATATATTTTATATTATTCAACATAAGCTATATTATTTTTATTTTCAATTGAGAGTATTAAAAAATAAATGTTCTTATAACTTTAGTGTCAACTCAAATAATTTCAATTTGGGGATAAGAACCACATTTTAATTGCTAGAATTTCATAAATTAAAAGACATAAGTAGTTCATATGAGTCACTTAAATCTCAGCGATATTTAGAAAACTCTACGTGAAATGTCCAGATATTTCGTATTTTATTGAAGCGACAGGTGTGAACCGCATGCTTTATCTACTCATAGCAATTATTTTGATGATTTAGAAACGATTGTGTGATATCAGCAACCACATAGTTTTTTGGTAGGAAAGTCTTATCCGATTCAAACCCAACTAAAATTGAGCAATAACACTAGAGAAAAATAAACACATAAGCCTGACGTTTGAATTGACAACATCCCTTCTATCATCAACATTTTTTTTTCTAGAATCAAAATACATGCCCTCTCTGTAAAATTCCAAGGACAATTGCAGGAAACATCCACTCCCTTTTCCATTCTCCCATAATTTTCACCACCCACTAAAACATAAAACCGGCAACTTAAATAACTAAATAACTAACTTTTCCGCACCTAATAACCATATACACATTTATAATTGAATGCAATGCATGAAAAAAAATTAATACCTAAAATAAATGTTTAATATTAAATGAAATGTTTCCCAGCCCCCAGTACTCCCTTGTAAAACCCTCCATGTCTCACTTCATTACTCCATCAATACTTCAAAACCGAATTTGCTAGAGCAACCAAATACACGAAACCACATACCCTTACTACTATTATTTTAAGTTTCAATGGAACATCAACCATCTCTAACCTCAAAACAAGAACTACCACCTATAGTGGCCACGATGCCAAGTCCTGGCATGGGACATCTGATCCCAATGATTGAGTTCGCAAAGAGACTAATCCGCCACCAAGACCTTGCCGTCACATTTGTCATCCCCACCGTCGATGGTACTCCCTCCAAGGCTCAAACCACCGTCCTTCGCTCCCTGCCTAACACCATTTCCCACATCTTCCTCTCTCCAGTGTCCCTCTCTGACCTCCCACCAGACACCAAAATCGAACCTCTCATCTCTCTCACTGTGGTCCGCTCCCTCCCTTCTCTCCGCCACTACCTCCTCTCCCTCGCTGCCACCCACCACATCTCAGCCCTCGTCGTCGACCTCTTCGGAACCAACGCCTTCGTCGTTGCCGGAGAACTAAACGTCCCTCCATACGTCTACATGCCTTCCACTGCCATGTGTTTGTCCTTCGCCCTTTACCTTCCCCTTCTCGACCAACAAGTTCAGTGCGAGTTCAGAGACCTTCCTGAACCGGTCAACATCCCCGGTTGTGTTCCGGTTCATGGGAAGGACTTATTGGACCCGGTTCAGGACCGAACCAATGATGCCTACAAATGGTTCCTCCACCATGCCAAGCGGTATAGTTTAGCAAAGGGGATAATAGAGAATAGCTTCTTAGAGCTAGAACCAGAGGCTATCAAGTTTTTACAAAAGGACGAACCTGGTAGACCGCCGGTCTACGCGGTTGGACCGCCGGTGAATGATGACAATCCTCAAACCGGGGACGAAGAGTGTTTAAGGTGGTTGGATGAGCAACCACGTGGCAGTGTCATATTCATCTGTTTCAGTAGTGGTGGGACCCTTTCTAGTGCTCAGATAGATGAACTTGCTTTGGGGTTGGAAATGAGTGAGCAAAGGTTTTTATGGGTTGTGAAGAGCCCAAATGATAAGGTTGCAAATGCTTCTTATTTCATTGCTGATAGTCACAGTGATCCTTTTGATTTCTTGCCAAAAGGGTTCGTTGAAAGAACTAAAGGGAGGGGTTTAGTGGTGCCATCTTGGGCCCCACAGGCTCGGGTCTTGAGCCATGGGTCCACCGGGGGGTTCTGGACCCATTGTGGTTGGAACTCAATACTTGAGAGTGTGGTGAATGGGGTACCTTTAGTTGCATGGCCACTGTATGCGGAGCAAAAGATGAACGCTGTTTTGGTTACCCAAGACGTTAAAGTTGCATTGAGACCTAAGGTTGGTGAGAATGGGTTGGTGGAAAGGCAAGAAATTGCTACAGTTGTGAAGATGCTAATGGAAGGTGAGGAAAGGAAGAAGCTTCGTTTTCGAATGAAGGAACTTAAAGAGGCAGCTGCCACAGCTGTCGGGGAAAATGGGTCTTCAACAAAACAAATCTCCAAGTTGGCTCTCAAATGGAAGGGCCAAAGAACTGTATCCAGATGAAGTTTCCTTTCATTTATTCTCTTTCTCACTCTTTTTGCTTTTCTGTTTTTATTTATTTATTATTTTTTTACCTTTTTTGCACAATAAATCCATGGTGTGCATTAGGGTTTAGGATTTAGATTTGAATAATTTGGAAAGTATCATAAATTCAAATTAATGTAATGCTAACTTTTACATATTTTATTACTAGAGATGCATGGATTCACGACTCCACCCTTATATATGCTGCTCTATTTATAATTTAAGGTGACTTTATTTCAATGTGTTTCTACTCTATTTAATGATGAATAATTACGCAAAGATGCACATAAATGTTCGATAAACAATATTTTATAAATTTGAATCTATGGGTAACACACCGTTGTAGTAATGTAGAATATTTTTTCGGAGGGACAACTCCATCAATACTTAGGTCATTTAACATATGTTATAACTTATAATCTTACTGTACTTATGTTTGTTGAGATATATAGTTTCACATTGGTTGTGAGGGCAACTAATGTGGCCTTTATAAGGCCTTGAATTCTCCCACCCTTTGAGCTAGCTTTTGGGGTAGTGTATTCCAAGATTCTTAACAATGTTGTACGTAATAAATTACTGTGGAATTTTTAAAATTAAAATCGCCATTGCTATCTTATTCATGAATTAAAATTTTGACATATACTAATTTACTTTCATAGTAGAACTATTTGGGGTTGAGCTATCTAGTCCATTTTAATGGATGGGAAGCTTACATCACAGGGAGGTCTCAGACTATTCCCCATAAGATTGAACAATAACCTATTAAATTTGTTGATATATTGTTGTGAATTACATTATTAAAATAGGACTCTAACGACCGAAGATGGCATAATATAAATAAAATAGTTGTGTTAACCTGAGGGATATGGCAATAATTGTTTGATCTATTAAAATGAACTAATTATGCATGTGTGGGATAAAATGAAACATTGAATAATTATGAAATATATACATTGTCAATGCATGAAACCAGAGGAACCGGGATTTTTGACTTTAGTAGTCTCATTTTCATAAGGTTTCACCTAAATAATTTCTTGGTCAATTGTATTACCTATATAATGCATAACGAAAATCATTTTAGGATGTGACACTTAAGCAACCGCGTCCTTTGCATTTGTTCCAGACCACTGGAACGTGATACCCTCGCAATCACATCATATTCCCAAGACGTGGTACCCTCTCAGCCGTGTGTCAGTGCGTCCCATCCCCAAAAAGAATTCAACAGGAAGCGGCAGTCTGGAAGCCGCGTTCTAGGTTATAAGTCAAGTCGGAGCCAAGCAGATATATATGTTTCACCTAAAATTGCAGATCGGAAGACCAAGTGTCATAGTTGGACCCATCCAATTTATCCACACTCAACGGAGCAAGGATATAATTGGAAAAAATAGTAGACTCCGACTTTTGTCCAGCCGGAGTCCCGGAACCAGGAACATTGGAGACAGGAGGGTCCATAATCAAAAAGAAATCAGAAAGACAGATCACAGAACTAACCAGTAGAAGAGGGATCTGTGCGTCAATGCAAAAAGATGTCGAAACAGAAAAACAAGACCGGATCCAGAATCGTCTCAGCAAGACGAAAAAATCGCAACCAGCCGCGGCCGGAACGGAGGCTCCACGTGCCTCCACGCGCCGCCTGTTGAAGGAGGGTGCTAAAACTTGCACGCGCGCATGAGAGCGCGTGGGTGGTCTTCTTAGGGAGCGGCCGGTGCCGGTGTGACCGCGTTGTCAAGACGATCACGGCGGTAGTCTGCGTGCCTGAAAATTCCACCGGGCGGTGGTGGTTGATAGTACAGAAGCGTGAAGCGGAAGAAATCGTTCGGAAACTGACAATGAGACAGTTCTGGAAAAAAAAAATTGTAAAATACGATGAACAGTGGGTTCACCGGAAAATAAAAATAAAAATTCAAACGTTCCTTAGGCTCTTGATACCATGTAAAGAACTTTGGGATACACCACCCCAAAAGCTAGCTCAAAGGGTGGGAGTGCCCAAGACCTTATAAACTCCACATTAGTTGCACATACAACTATATATCTCAACATTTAATATTTAGGTAAACAAAAAAAAAATATAATCTATGCAAAATTCATACTTCAAGCCCAAAGGGCTTTCGTATGAGTGAGTGTGTAAGTGGATAATATAAACTATTATAAAAACCTTTATCTAACACCTTAAAATTATAATAATTATAATTTTATTGTTAGTAAATTTTTGAATTAATTATTCTCTGATTTAAGAGTTAGTCTTCTAACCAATAAAAAATAAATTGCTAACAACTTTAAAGCCCATTTTGTACGAAAATAGCTTGTTGTTTTTATTGGATTTTTTTGAACTCTTTTACCGTGAATATATCAATATGCCTAAATTTTAGGTGAAATATATATATATGTTTGGCTCCGACTTGACTTGTAACCTGAAACGCAGCTTATACACTGCCGCTTCCTGTTGAATTCTTTTTGAGATGACACGCACTGACACGCGGCTAAGAGGGTACTGCGTCTTGGGAATATGACATGATTGCCAGGATATCACGTTCCAGTGGTCAAGAACAAATGCAAAAGACGCGGTTGCAAGTGTCACATCCTAAAGTGATTTTCATAATATCGTGTCGTTATCCATTATATAAATAATATGATTGACCAAAAAATTATTCCGATAAAACCTTATAAAAATGAGATTACAAAGGTCAAAACGCCGAGGAACGGATTCTTTTCAATGAAATATGCTAATCGTCAATCCCTCGTAACGATTATTTATCAGAGTTCAATTATTGACTACTCATGTAAAATCTAGTTTAGCACGACATTAGAATTTCAGTGCACAGATTTTATATTGATTTATTTTCCCCACGCAGTGACTACATCATCTATTTATATAATGATATCATCGATTGGTGATTGGTGTAGTCGTGTGGAAGTGAAAACGCGTTGGGCAATGACTGCATACAAGTTTGAATTCTCAACGTTTGTGCAGCTGAAACACCGTCATCACGTACGCACCCGCACTAAGCTAAATATAATGTTATGAATCAATTATTTTAAAAAGTTGTATAGTGTTGGATAAAAACATTTTTATATATAGTTAATATTATGATAGTTAAAATTAAGATTTTATCTAAAATTAAAATCAAGATAACAAATAGTAAAATGTAAAATCTTAAAGTAAAAAAAATTATAAAAACGTAAAAGCATTTGAAATTTTAATGAAATCATTTTGATTAAAAAAAATTTTAAAACCGTAAAAACGCAGATTTTAAACGAAATTTTAACTATCATGATTAACATATTACACCAATAAATTATAAAACAATTATTTCAATATTGGAAAAACAATTATTGGTTCTCTTGTAATAAATTCGTATAAATTGACTATTTTCTTACCATTTGTCTCGTAAAACTATACAAAAAAAATGTTTCTTACCATATGAATTATGTGAAGAGAAAAAATATAAGGTTCATATATTTTTTATTTGTATATAAAAATAAAATTATCTCTTATAATATAAAAAAAGACATTAAACAAAAAAAGGAAAAAAAAATCTGTTATTTAATTTGCGACTGTTTTTTATGATAAAATTTAGGGTACCTGCACCAACTATCACAACTTTTCAAAAAGGGCTAGCTACCTTGCCATTAATATCTTTGTTTTATTGTGTCAATTATGAGGTCTACGACTAACAAATGGGCCAGTCTTTGATCTAAGAAATAAAAAACATAGACAAAAAGCAAGAGAGGGGTGTTATATGCAATTATGCATGGTGTAAGAAAATATATATTTTATAACGGAGCCGCGTTAGCACAAAGCGAACTACTCTTTCGCCTTTTACTAAAGAAAATTTTATATTATTCAACATAAGCTATATTATTTTTATTTTCAATTGAGAGTATTAAAAAATAAAAAATAACCAATACGTAAACGATCTTATAATTTTAGTATCAACTCAAATAATTTCAATTTGGGGATCAAGAAATTGAATTTCAATTATTTGTAGAAACATATCGCGACAGGTGTGAACCGCCCGCATGTATGCTTTATCTTCACCGAGCAATTATTTTGATGATTTAGAAACGATTGTTTTGATATCAGCAACCACAAACATTTTAGTAGGAAAGTCTTATCGATTCAAACCCAATTAAAATTGAGTAAAAAAAATCAATGAAAAAAACTATGAAAAATAAACACATAAGCCTGACGTTTGAAAATACATCATCGACTCTTACATCATCGATTTTTCCTTCTCCTAGAATCAAAATGCATACCCCCTCTATAACATCCCAAGGACAATCGCAGGAAAGATCCACTCCCTTTCCCTCTCTATTAAATGAAATGTTTCCCAGCCCCCTATACTCCCTATAAAAACCCTCCATGTCTCACTTCATTACTCCATCAATACTTCTGAATCCAATTTGCTAGTGCAACCAAATACACAAAACCACAAACCCATACTACGATTAAGATTAGTTTCAATGGAACATCAACAATCTCTAACCTCAGAACAAGAACTACCACCTATAGTGGCCATGATGCCAAGTCCAGGCATGGGACATCTCATCCCAATGATCGAGTTCGCAAAGAGACTAATCCGCCACCAAGACCTCGCTGTCACATTCGTCATCCCCACTGTTGATGGCACTCCTTCCAAGGCTCAAACCACCGTCCTCCGCTCCCTGCCTAGCACTATTTCTCACATCTTCCTCTCTCCGGTGATCCTCTCCGACCTCCCGCCAGATACCCAAATTGAACCCCTCATCTCTCTCACCGTCGTCCGTTCTCTCCCTTCCCTTCGCCACAACCTCCTCTCCCTCGCCGCCACCCACCGCATCTCTGCCCTTGTCGTCGACCTCTTCGGAACGGACGCCTTCGACGTCGCCGGAGAACTCAATGTTCCTCCATATGTCTACATCCCTACCACTGCCATGTGTTTGTCCTTCGCCCTTTATCTTCCCCTTCTCGACCAACAAGTTCAGTGCGAGTTCAGAGACCTTCCTGAACCGGTCAACATCCCCGGTTGCGTTCCGGTTCATGGGAAAGACTTATTGGACCCGGTTCAGGACCGAACCAACGATGCCTACAAATGGTTCCTCCACCATGCCAAGCGATATA